TTTTTCTGTGGTTGCTTAAAATCTCTTTAGAAATGGTGACAGTTTCCAGCAGTCCACGTCCAACAAACTTGGACAGTTCAGTGAACGTCAAGACAGACACAGAATACCTCAAGATTGCAAAGAAAGGTGGTGGGCATAAAGGTAAGGCTTAATAATTAATGACCACATGCATATCTTGCAATAACAAGAAGCCTTCCCTGCAAATAATAATCATTTCAAAGTAAATTTTCTTCTCTTACTGGCCATGTTACATGGGTAAGTTTTGTACAGTAAATTACACTGTCCAGTATTGTGCAGGTTAAATAAATGAGTGCAAAATTTTGCTGTTTCAGATCTTTTAACAATGGAGCCACACACTCCGTCTCCAGAGCCACAGAGATACCAGAAGAATGGAGGAGACTGGTACAATCAAAATAGCACAGACACACCAAGTACGTGTATGCAGTTTACAGGTTGTGATTCTAAGTACTTTGTAAAAGGTCACTACGTAACTGACATGTATAACAGAAAGTTAAACAGCCAAGTGGGAGACTTAAGTTTAGACTGATGTATAATTCTGCTTGTTGTTTAGGATCCTCAGCTCCACCAAGTCCACGCAAAAATAACAGCGATGACATAGACTACTTAATCCTGGCCAGGAAGGGCGGTGGACACAGTGGTATGTCTTATGACCAACTCCGACATCCATAAACTCTCTAATAGGGTCTCCGACACAGGAGATATGCTGACCTGGGCCAAGTCAAGACAGTTACATTTACGTTCTGTCAGATGACTCTTCCGCTTTTTCCTCCCTGTTGCACAACAGGGTAGCACTGTTTTTTTGGGTAGATGTGACAAAATGGTTGGGACTTTTGAAGTTTAGAAGTGAGCATTGGTGTTCAAATGAGTTGACTGTCAAATATGATTACTCCATAACAGATTTATTGACAATAGAGCCCCACACTCCCACCCCAGAACCAGTCAAATATGACAAGAAGGACGGACAGTGGTACACTCATGATGGAGTCGATGTAAAGGACACACAACAGAGAAGAGGTTGGTTTCACTGTATGTGAAGTAAACTTGCTGTATTTACCAATGTATTAAATACATCCATACGATCAGCAGTGACATTTCAATGTTCTTGCGTAATGCACATGCAGAACTCAATCTTCCACGAGTTTAACATAACGTGCATGTATGTCTTGCAACGTATATAAACTGTACGCACGACTCCGTCTCATTTGCAATTAGTGATACTTGTATTACATGGCCATTGTACATGTATCTGAAGGTACATAAAAACTATATTTGAATTACTTGATTGACTGTTTGCAGTTCTCGCTTTATATATTTGTGTTTTGTTGTGGTTTTGTAATACTGCTGACTACCCTCCTCATCTAGCTTTCACTAGCCGCCTGTGTTTTGTCATCTTACCAGAAGTTGTTCAAACTGCTACATTTCTCTCTAGATCAGACACCTAGTTCTCGTCGGAGTCCGCGTAAAAACACAAGAGACTCAAAACTAGACATCAACACTAATACAGAATACCTTAAAATTGCTAGGAAAGGTGGAGGGCATAAAGGTACTAACAGTAACAATAATAATAAACGTAATGTAATGTTAAGTTATCAGCAAAAGTAACAATGGAATTAAGAGTAATAAATTAATTATTAATTATATAGCATTTATACTAATGCAGTACTTACATATGAGCATGATTAACAACTGCTTAAGTGCTTCTTAATTGCATTGCTTCATTAGCTCTTCATTCTAATAGTTAGTGAGACAAATTGGCTCCCTGACTGCTAACCTGTTAGCATTAGTTAAGTAAGTTGGGTTTCTCTGGTAACATGTCAATCAGTTATCACATTCTTCTGTTAGATCTGTTAACCCACACGCCATCTCCAGAACCACAGAGATATGAAAACAAGGCAGATCAGAATAACCACGATAGTGTCGATGGAAATAAAACACGAGATAGGAAAGGTAATGTGCAAAAGTTATATAACCGAAATATGAACGGAAGTTTTCAAATGATCTCAAAATGAAAGTTTGATAAAATTCGAAGAAACTTTGCTGAACTTCGTAGTATCAAGTGAAATTTCAAAGCAATGAATTTTCGAAATTATGAGGGAGGTTGCACATGCTCCATTTCTCCTGCTAGAAGTAGTTGTGTCTTTTAAAGGCAAGAAAACGAATAGGCGTTACTTGACCAAGTTGTCAACAACTCCTAACCTAGTGAGTTGAAAACGGCCACCTCTCCTCAAAATAATGATTGCATTTTACGTCTCAACACCAGTTATACCAAACTATGCTTTTCTCCCTTTGAAAGCTCCTTCAAATGCAAACCCATCCACAGAGGTTAATTCTTCTCCAGTTTGGTTGTTGGTTCCATTCAGTAACCCATTCGAAAAACGTTTTTAACCTTTATTTACCCTTGGCAGTGTTTATTGAAAAAAATTAATTTCTAAAATGCATTGCAAGCAAAAGTAGGTCTTACCTTAAGTGTTGGACATCTCTACATGTACATTTTGCTCCTGCAGGTTCCCATCATCAAAATGGTGGCTCCTCGGTACAAATAAATACAGAAACAGAATATCTAAAAACGGCAAGGAAAGGGGGAGGACATAAAGGTAGCACTGGAATAATTTGATTCGTTCTTGAGATAACTGTATGATTCAAGACCCTCACCTGCTATACCCACGTGTAAATAAGCTTATACTATAATGACAGTTGCGGCAAGAAATAAAATCTTTATTTATCCTGATTAAAAAACCGATCTGCTGAACATAAGGGAGCAGCTGGTATAAACCGGTGATTAGTAATGTAAAATATATTCATCTAAAAATACCTACACACAATAATATCAGAAGAATGTTACGAGGCTACTTCACTATATGATTTGATTTGATTTGAGTGTGCTAATTCGTGTTTATTTCCATCATTATTACAGAAAAATGAGAACTCTTGGGAAATTTGAAACCCTCGATAACTTTGAATTAACATATGTGTGCTTGAAACTAATTGCGTTTTCATTTGGCAGACCTTCTCACAATCGAACATCATAAGCCCAGTCCCAAGCCTAAGAAACAAGAGAGTAAGTTAGGAGACTGGTACTACCAAGATGGATCTGTTGTTAAAGAGAGGAAAGGTATTTTGTTCGCTTATCATTAAAACAATCCATTTTTTCATCCCAAACTTTTCAGAGAGAAAATTATAATCGAACCTTCACTAACGGCTACTTCTCGACAATGACTACTTTTTTGTCCCGGCGGAGTGGGACGGTGCATGCATTCACTCTTGTTTAAACCTCTTTACAACGGCCACCTCTCCACAACGGCAGCGGCCATTAAAGTGCGTCCCAGCGGCCGAAATAACTTCTCAAAGGCCAGTTAATCAACGACTGACAAACGGTGGATACCAAGCCCTAGTTTTAATGGTAAAAGGTCACAAAACTTGATCCGTGCCGTGCGCCTTTGGTCTGTATTTGTTTGGTTTCTGTTTCATTGATATGTTTTGATCATGGTACGTCTAACTTATAAGCTACAATATGCCTTTAAAAAATGTTGCACCCTCCGAAAAAAATAGTCATGGTAATGTTAATGAGTTTGAGGACTGCCCTTTGCTTTGCAGAATCTCCTTCTAGTAGTCCAAGAAAGACAAGTGCTGACAATTCACCAGCCACTACAGAATACCTGAAAATGGCCAGGAAGGGAGGTGGGCGTAAAGGTATGGTGTGTTGCAGCATACAAGGCCAAGGACAGAGCCAAGTCAGAAAAACTGTTGTTAACTGTGGTAGTTTGGGAAGATTAAAGAAACAGAAACATTTCTTCTATGTCTTTTTCTCAAGCATATAAGAAACGTTTTGTTTCTATGAACGCTCATTGAAGTCGGGGAGAACCAAAACATCGGTACCACGGAAATTTGAATTTGCTAATTCAATGTCAGCTTTCTAGTACGTTTATGGTGAACTTGTGAACCAGAAGGTATTGCTCCTTTAACAAAGTAGCTGTAAGTACCTAGTTCAAGGTCTGCCACTTAAAATTAAAAATTAAAATTTCAAATAAACCCTGGCTTAAATCATTTATGAGACATTGTTGTGACATCTACATAAATGATGATCTCTTACAGACTTGCTAATGATGACACCAGACAAAGCCAGTCCTAGTCCCAAGCCTAAAGAAGCCGTGAAACGAAATACAGGTGGATAAATTAACACACGGAGGTTTAGAAGTAGTTTATGGAAGAGCAAAAACGTAAAAGTTGATCATTATCTTTTCTAGATTCAACTCCAATTAGCAGCCCCAGGAATGGAAATGGCACAAGTAGAGACTCGACGGACTACCTCAGGCTTGCAAGGAAAGGTGGCGGACATACAGGTTTGTGGCGGTTCAGTTCTACAGTGTCGTAAACCAATAGGGAGTTTAAAAAAACTAAAAGGGCAACGGCAACGGAAACGTCGCTAAACCAAGGTTAAGCGTGCAATACAATAGCTGTGCACGTGCGATATAATTCTTGGTACATTTCTTTGCCGTCCTCTGCAAAACAACAACGTGAAATGACCAAATTCTGCGTTGTGTGGAGAAAGTGAACCACGACGGATAATTCCTAAAATTTATATTTCGAATTTTACGCTGTGTTCCTTATTCAGATTCCATATAGTTTTTACAAAGAGAAACAAGCTAAATGACTGAAGAGTATCGCGAGATTCGTAGGTAAAATATAAATTTAGTTTTTAATCGACGTCGTAGTTACGTAAACTCCCTAATGTAAAAGAGAAGGTCGGCAAACGCTGTCTGTTTCAACACATTTGTGCTGGAAGCATTTTCGTGTCGTAGAAATAAGTTGAGATATGTGTCCTTCGCCAAGATACCTTAACCTAGTTCTTTCACATTGCTATTAACTGAATCTTTTCAGGTGTAAGTTGGTGATTAAACATGTGTGTGGTACAACACAACATCACGAAAAATGTAAAGAGAGATAGAACGACGAATATTGTTGCTTTCTTCATGAATTCTTGTTATAAAACACTACATTTGAAAACAAGTATGTAAAAGATATCATCTTGAGACTAAAATTGTTTTTGTAGTGGAAAGGGGTAAACAAATTGTGTAACTTGACTGTGCAGTGTTATCTGCCAAACTAAGCCCCTGACTGTTCAACAAATTACCTCTGCCTTGGACGTGTGTGCATGTCGTCTTTCCTGTTGTTATTACAGAGAAAAACATTGTAAACTGACTTTGCCTCACTCAAAGTGAAATTTAGTTTTTTTATTTCTTTTGTTTGTAAGTATCTTAAGAATGCCTATGTTTTTGCCTTGAAAACCGCACTGACTGTGTGAAAGTGAGGTGCTTTTTAACAGTCATTGACGTTGTCAATTTAAATGGCAGATCTTCTAAGCAGTGCTCCACGGCAGGCTGCAGACAGTTTTAATGCAGTGGATAGTCCGCGGAGAAAAGGTCAGTGAGGTTTACTTCTACATAATATCAAGACACACAGCGTGTAATGATCTGATTGTATAATATGGGAATATTACAGATAGCTATAGTTATAGATGATATAGTAATACGTTTGTCACGCAATTATGACGGTTAATTGAGCGACAATATGTGAAGTTAAAACAGGTTGCATGCATGAGCCACTCTCGGAATGGAAAATAATCTTGGGTCGTAATTGAAACAGTTCGGTACAAAATGAATTGCCAGCGAAGAGAAATGTCATAAATTAAAGTTAAAAGTCATTCATCACATGTTTTATTTAAATAAAGTTGTTTGCAAGGAATAGTTCTTTTACCCAAAGAGATAAAACAGTTACATTTTGAAGTGCATTTACATTTGTAATTCCTGCTCAATGATTGCGACTGTTTCAATAATGCCTCTGATTTCTACTTTGAAGCGGGAGTTGTATCCTTGTTTGGTAGAGCTTTAAAAGTGTTTATTTCACCAGAATCTATCTTCCTTTTAAAACCCTGATTGTCTTGTTTTGTAGAACCCAGTACAGACTTTTCGCTTAGAAGGAGTGCAAGTATGCGACATAGAGGTCCTGTATCTGATTATCTTAGCACAGCTAGGAAAGGAGGTCATCACAAAGGTAAGTTTTGAAAGGCTAAATAGTGTGTACTTAATGATCGATTTACGCTGTGTTGATGTAAATTGTAATCCTGGTCTCCATAACAAATCACATGCTATCAAACATTGCGAATTGGTTCGAGGTGCCTGACTCGTAAAGAATCTGACATGGGCTGTTAAGAGCAAAACACTCCTAATGTTTTTTCTTAGAAACGACGTGTGTTCCCTGTGATTTCATCTTTTTTGTTAAACAGGCGATGTGATGTATTGATTGATTTTTGTTTTATTTTTACTCATGGCCAGACTTGTTAACAATGCCAGAAACGAGTAACTTCAAGCGAGGTAAGAAAAGTACAAAATCTGCTTGTAAAATGTCCGCTCTTAGTGCTTGTTACAAATCTATGAGAAAAATGAATTAATCAAACTACACCTGAACTTTTATTATGGACCAACCTCAGGGGTTTCATTAGCGTTTTCAGCCGGAGGGTAACTGGTTTCCACAGGCGGGCAAAACTTTTTGAACTGAGCCTTTTTATAAGAAAAACTTTCCTCAACATGGTCAAACCAGGCGTGCAATATCATCCTCACAGCCAGTCAATTTACCCGTTGCCGGCCCTAAAAAAAATCCTGCAACCTATTATTAAGTTTGATTTCAAGGTTAAAAATAACTAGCACGGACCTGACCTTGTGAATTTGTTTATTTGTTTATTTATTCTTTTTATTTATTTATTTCTTTGTTTTCATTAACAGATCAAGAATCACGCCGTAGTCTGAGAAGGTAGGACACACGTCTTCATGAAAGTGAAGAATGATAATCGCAGTAAATTTTCCAAATTAAGCAATTGGAAAGAAGAAGCCTGAAAAAACCAGGGCTGCAACGGAACATATTTACTGCGATGATCATTCTTCACTTTCATCTACAACCGCAGTTCAAATATGAATTATTTCATATATANTGGAAAGAAGAAGCCTGAAAAAACCAGGGCTGCAACGGAACATATTTACTGCGATGATCATTCTTCACTTTCATCTACAACCGCAGTTCAAATATGAATTATTTCATATATACTTCACAACACGTCTTCATTTTGTGAAGCAATTTAATTGTGTCAAATGTTTCAAGGTGGAAAAAAGCAAGCCAGACACATCCTTTATGTGTTGCAAATCGATGTATACGAGTACTATTAGGGATTTACAGTATGAGTGATGCTTGAAAATTCTTTCAAAATTACAAAAGCCTTTTGGCGAGTACAATTTGAAAGAAATTTCAAATATCACCAGTGTTATAATAACATTGATTTCTTTATTACAGTCTATATGACTGAGAAAATCACATCATTGTGATTGACTGAGAGAAGGCAAATGTATCTTTAATTTTTGACTTGCACTGCAGTGCAAAATAAAAAGCGGATGTTTGTTATTTTCTCGTTCATAATAAATGAGGAATCATATGAAAGGACACTTCTCGTGATACTGGCAATTGTTTCAGAGTGCACTCGCACTCGCATGGGTTCCGTGACGTCATGAGGAAACGATCTATAGTTTTGAGAAAACACACACTCATCACTCTAAATTTTGTACTTAGCTTTAGGAGCCCAGTGATTTCTCAAGTGGATGGACCATCTAGACCCAGGACAGCGGAGCCTCGCCAGTCGCATCCAATTTGGTTGGGAGGCTCTGGGCCCGAGAGAACGCATAGTCCAGGAAAAAGATTTATTAATCAGAATTCAAGATTTGCACCATTTGCTTACCATGAGGGGTCCCCAGGGTAAGTAAATTATTTATTGGCATCATATCGCGAGCGCGGCGAACCTTGTTGTCTGACAGGTTTCTCTTAGTTGTTGAAAATACTTCGTGTTTTATACTTCAGGAAACACGTATATTATCTACTTGATTCTGCCGGTTCTTTCTTATCCCTTATCAGTGATAAAATAAGACTAACGTAAAAAGATAATTTTTTCTTGTTGTCCATTTGTTCATACGGATCTTCGTTCTTTTTTCTCAGCGAGGATAAAACTCGGTCCGGTCTCAGACCTCGAATTCGACTAATAGTTGAACACAGTATCAAATGAAGTAACCATTACTTGATAGTACGCTTGATTTCTTTTTTATCCTTCCTTAGGGCTGCAAAGAATCCCGACAAGATTTAACAAAACAAGAGTCCAAATTTTATCACGCTGACAACCAGAAAATGAACAAACGATCCAGGCAACAATTTATTTATAATATAATGTAAGTAAGGTATGCTAGATAGTTGATATACTTGAGGTGTTTAGAGGACTAGTAATAATAAAGTGAAGTTTACAGTAAGAAGATTTAGATGTATTTAGGTTATCAGGCAATTTATATAAAATTTCCTAGTAGCAAATGAGTCTTAGTTCTAAGCATATTGATGCAATATTTATTTAGTTAGATAATCAGTACTTGGAAAGACAGATTTTGTGATCTAAACAAGTTGTCTTTTAATGAGGATTGAATGGAAATGGTACAAGTATTTAATTTGAATCCAAAACAATTTTAGGAATTGCAGAATGTTTGCCATCCAGGGTAGGGAGAGGTTCATTTGTAAGCTATTCGTTACAGTCCCCTTGGTAATTGTAACAGACCATTGGATAAATTTTGTTTTTAAATGTATGCAGATATGAAATTGTATGTTCTGGCACTTTTAACTTTTCGTTTATCTTGATTCTTTATTCTTACTCTCTTGAAGTAACCGGCATCTCTATAAACTCTCTTTTTACACTTGTGTTAAACACACCTTTATTCGTACGCAGATTGAGTATCGCGCTTTTGCCTTCTGTTGTTTGGAGTGAGTGCATGAAAGCAAGTAGTTTTGTTTGATCGTGCGAATTTGTACTTTTCGTTTCGCAAGGAAACGTCAACAGAATCAACGAGAGTCCGAACTTTGGTGTTTGCCGTGGAAAGTGATGTTTAGTTTTGGTAAATATATATATCTGATATTTAGGTTGTAGACTTTTCATATTTTGTCACATTTTAAGTACATATTTACTGAGAGCGACTTTGCTCCAAGTCAGCAAGAGTCAAGGTTTACACGCATTGTTTCATTGCTGATTAAACAAGGCTAGATATGCGAATCTGAATAAGGGTTGTCGCCATTTGTTAATGTTTCCAGTCCGTATTTGTAATGTTCCTAGTTTACAATAGTGTATCATCATTAGACGTAGAGGAATAGTGAAGGCCATTTTTGGTTAATATTTCAGGTTATGTAACACAGTTAATCTAGATATCTTGTAGGCTTTTAAATATTTGCTTTAATTAGCTAAATATGTTAAGTTGATGTCTCTAATGAATCAAGACCTAGCTACTATGTTCGTAGTTTTATGAAGTTTTAAGTAACCACGTCCGAAATAAAATGACATTTTTAACAGGTTAAATACATGTAGTAGAGCATTGTGTCAGAAACCCCAAGGAGCTAACACTCACATGTTTACAAGCTGACCACACCCCTGGTATTTCAATAGATATTGGTTTGCTGTAAGCTGCGGAAAACATGTTGAAGTTGTGAATTAGGAAGAAAGTAGTAATTAGGCTAAAACCACTTTTGCATTATTTTAAAAAGTTAACATTTGCGTTGCGCAACTTACGAGAGAGACCAATATGACCTTAGTGCGTCAAGGAAATCTGAAGTACAAAGCACGTATAGAACATGTTTAGGAATAAGTAAGAACTGATAGGGAATAAAAAAGAAATTCAGTAGACTGAGTTGATGGTGTGAGTTTGTGGGGCCTTAAGATCCCTGTTAAACCATAATTATGCATAAGATAAGACCACCTCAGTTCATAGAAAAATCACCATTGTGAAAACGATACCCTTCTAGGTAGTGATTTCTGGAAAAATCACGATGGTGAAAACGATGAAGCGGTTTTTAAATCAAAACTTATGCCTAATTTTTTTTCTTTCTTCTTCAAAACTGTTCAAACAACGTCAACTTTGTGAAATAAAACTGCCTTTCTGGGGACCTCTGGGCACAAATGTTTTCCGTTTTGAACGCCGAAAATAAAGGGAAGAAGAAGGAAATAGATATCTAAAAAAAACCAGTTAACTAACTTTAAGAAAATTATATTCTCCTTCTCGCTCTCTGTGTTGCTTCTTCCCATTCCCTCCTTTCCCCCCCTCCCCTTATTTTTTGGACTTCCTAAACCTTCCCTCCATCATCATCTCAGGCTCTCTCTCCTGACAAGGAAGGCAAAGCGGAAAGCCTGGGATTGAGGTTGCGCAAAAAAGAGAGAGAGTCTGGGGTCGAGGTCGAAAACAAAATGGCGAAGGTACGGCGAAACCGTCGCAAGTTCCATCTCCCGGCTGTAAAACCCAACGAAAAAGATAAGACTGATACTCTGATGCCAAATGAGGTAGATAAATCATCCGTGCACACGTTAATGATTGGTTCTGAAACATTATTACAAATCTAAAATAAAAGCTTAATTATTTTTCGTTGACAGTCTACTCTTCCAGCTATATTTCCCATTGATGGACTGTTTAATCCAAGCAAATCCATTAGTTCTGAGACTACAGATGTTAAAGAAGTTCAGAAGCTTCAAGTGAATAAAAAGGACAAGAGAAAGGAAAGGCATGAGCGATTTTTACAAAGTGGGTCTTATTTATTAAAAGTAGTAGTAGTTTTAAAAGCTTTCTTTACATTTCTCTTTGATCTTCTTTTGAATATCAGAATGGTGAACACATGGCATGCTTGTTTCCCTTTGTTCCGCATAGAGCTAAATGCTGCCAGACGTGTAGAAGAAAGAAGCAAAAAAGCAAACGAAAGGTCCAAGACAGTTGTTGTTGGGGACATGGAACCACTATTATCAGCTCTTCCTACTATTAATGTACCAGAACTTATTAGAGGTTCAAAAAGCTCAAATAATAGGTAAGGTTTTAAGATTTCCAGAAACAGAATGGAGTTATAATAAACTGATGTTTTAGGATGACGGGTAACTCTAGTTGTGCTCCTGCTTTGTTCTCAATCCTGTCTAAATAATTATTATACATTGAACTCACTATCTCTTTTCTGATTGGCCAAAAGTGTACTGTGAAGTTTCAAAATCAGCACCTGTGACGTCATGTAGCTGCAGATTATACAATAATCTCGTCAAGGACATTCAAGGTCATGGGCAATCATGTCATGTATGACCGCGGTGCATAATTTCTAAGGTTAATCATGTCAAGTTTGCATGCTTTGTGTTGCTTGCTGTCAGTGAAGAAGCAAAAACATGACTTTGATTTTTTTTTTTGTTCATTGTATAATAAAAGAATTGTTAGTTTCAGTTTTTGTGATATCCAGAATAATCAAGGTCTTGGTAAGGGTTATAACTCCTACCTGGAACTTGATTATTCTGGATATCACCAAGACCTCATCCAATAATTGTTTTTAATAATAATAATCATCATCATCAGCATTATCGTTGTATCTATAACAAACTTCTTGATTGTGATTGGTTATCCTTACACTTATTTGTCACATAATTGGCGCATGATTAGGTGGGTGTCCAATTACAAGTGTTCAGTTTCAACAAGTTGTAATTGGGTACCTGTAATTGGATACCTTCACCATTCACAGGCAGTGTTCCAGATAAGTGAGGGGTCTTGGGTCAAAAACCTGACAAGATCAGCTACACGACCCGATAAATTAGTAGAAAAATTATAGTGATTTGGTGGGAGCATTGGAAATTGACCCGTTAGAATTCCTTTTTGGCACCCAACCTTTAAAACTTACCTGGAACCCTGTTCACAGGTCAATTACAGTTATGGAAAGCGCTACTCACTTTTTTGCTTAAAAGAAGTTCTCAAAAGACTTTTTTAATTTCGAAATTTTGTTAATTGGGCCTCGTGTCATATAATTCAGGGAGTAATCCTGCTCACAATGTCAAAGCGGCACTCATGCTATGCACTCGTCCGATTTTGAAATTACTTACATGATTACTCCCTGTGATATACTCCACCTGGTCCAATTACTATTACTCATTACTATCCATAAATCAGAAATGTATCTTGTAGGTCCATAGAAGTCTTGTTATTCTGGTGATGGTCTTCATTATTATTTGATTATTGTCCATATTTACAGTCTTGTATGTTTAGTTGACATCTGTTTTTTGTCTGTATTTTTTAAAATATCTTTTTATATTATCTCAAAAGAGGAACATGAAATACCAGGTAGATATGACAAGTACCTTTAATTAGAGGTTATCAGAGAACAATCTGATTTGACTGTGTGTCAAATATCATCATTCCTTCCTCCCCCATCTCCTTGAAAATGTAACAATAAATAGATGAAGGCAAGAGAAGAGTTGCTAGAAACTCCATACAGAACTTTGAAAAATGACAAACCTTGCTTTGTGAGGCAACATAGTACCTGTTGAGTCTATAGAGAAAGATTTTTCATCTCTATAGTTAGGACCTTTATAAATAACTGGTATTATTTGGACAGACATGAAAACCTTAATTTAAAATGTCTATAATATTGAATTACCCTGCAGTAATGGAAATGAAAAAACAGCAAGCAAGAAAAGTAAAATGAGTAAAAAAGCCCGGCAAGCTCTGCAGTAAGTCCTTTATAATTACACTGTATCAAGTTTATATATATTTATGTTGTGTTGTTTGATGTTTAAGAGCAGTTTTGAAGCCTAGACACACAGCCAAGTACATACATGAGGGTTCTGTATAACTTAGAATGCCAATAATACAAGTCATATTCTTTTACATTGAAGTTTCAATCTTTATTCTTTGAGCTGCAGATAATTTGCAACGTTTGCCATGTGTTGGGTGCTACCGTGTAGCTTGAAAGTGTGTATGTGTTTTTGCTCATTTCCACTACAAAATGCAGAACATAGTGGGTAATGTAGAGGTAGAAAGTAAGGAAAAATCCAGAGGTAGCCCAAGAAGAATTTATAGGACATCAGATTTGGAAACAAAAAGGTCTTAGTGTTATTAACCAAAGCTTAAGAGTGAGATTGATAACACTTACTTTTCCCAGCTTGATTTGATCCATTGTCCTGGTGCTGTTGTTTGACATTAAAGAGACTGTGACAGGATCAGGACAAGAAATAAAATAAATGAATAAATTCCAATATTTAAAGAGGGAGCCACGTCTTTCATGCGAGTCCTCTAGTCTGGTCAAAAACTGAAACAACACCACTGGGATCCAGACAGACAACAAGACACAGAAAATCAGAAAACTAATTTCATTTTATTGATCTACTTTAACCTAGGTTATGGCAAGATCTTTTAGGTGTGAATTCTCATACAAACCCTTAAAGATTGTGAATAGCTTATTTTCCTATGGGTTCAGCTTACAACCTGAGATTTGGAACTCAGAGACTGTTACGCTGGTAAAAGACAAGAAAAGCTGCTGGGGGTACATGTTTTACAACATGTTCAGTAATTTAATAACAATGGTAATAGTGGGAATTATTTTCTGCCGCTTTCCATAGTTACTGTCATGTCTATAACAGCAAGTTAGGTGTCTACAAGGATGAGTAAACAGTTGCCCACCTTGTGAAAAGACCTTGATTAACCTTTTTGTCTCCATGTTCTTTTACAGAGCCAGTGAAATTGCACATTTCCAGCAAGTTCTAAAACACCCTGCGTTTAAAGCCAACCCACTTGGAGCCATTTCTGAGCATATTAAAAATGCTGTCCAAAAAGAACTTGAAAATGTGACTTAATGTAAGGAATTTAGAAATTGCAGTTAATAAAATTGACAGTCTCTAAACATGTATAATAATGTATATCATTTGTAAACAAGTTATCCTAAATTTCTTGAAGTTCAAGTTACCATGGCAACTGCTTAAGAGTTATTTGTGGGTTTGGGGTTTAGGGTTAGGTTAGGTTATGGTCAGGTCATTTGTTTATTTTTGAAGAATGTAATCAGTACATGTCAAGATTAACTTTTCAGTAAGTGTTAAAATTGTTGAAGTGGATTTCTTACTTACTTTGTCCTCTTTATTCCTGATGGAACATACTATGATTATCAGTTGAGTAAGGTGCGATGAAAGTTTGGTGACCAGGTTTTGAAATTCAACTTGTGTTGTTGTCACGGGCAACTGGCTCTGTTTCCAGTGGCAAGTTGTCAGCCTTTGATGTCAATGGCAGCAAAGTGCACAAAGTTGCAGGCAACAGTATTGTTACCATTGGAAACAAGGATAGCAGCCTGTGGCAACACCTTAATTTTAAGTCCAAAACTTTGTCAATTGTAGTAGGTCTTCAACAAGCGCTGGTCACCTTACCCTATTAAGTTTTGTGCAACACTTTTTGCCTCATGCCACTTAAGCTGTTTCTCTTCCAACTCTGCCATTCGTGTGTGCCTCCAGGTGTAATGGAGTCAGACTCTCCCTCTTTGGTGCTTCCCCTGTGGGTTAGTGTGGAGGGGATTAAGAGAATCAGTCTTAAATTTTCTGGGGTCACCTGAAATAAGCCCACAAGGCTGAAATTAAGGGTGTTTTCAATGGCTTATACTATTGCTATGGCAGCCTTTTGTGTCACAAAAAATGCCATAGCTTGTTTATCAGTGATTGGGCATTTGTTTGTTACCATTATTGTAGCATCAACTAAAAACAAGAGGTAACAAAGAAGTGCTGAAAAAATCATGTCATGTACCACCTTATTGTCCACCATCAACTGTTTCCTGGCTTTTACTGAAGCTCCTTTAAAATAAAATACTACTGACCTCAAAAGTCTGTTTTAAAACGGGTCCCACTTGTAAAAATGGGTCCTTCTTGTAAACATAGGCACGCAAGGCGTGCAAGAGTTATTTTTTTGCGTGAAGTGTCGGAGATAGGAGCATTCATGGTACAGTAATGATTTGGTTAATTGACATTTTTTCTTTGGTTGCGATGTTACATCGGTCATGGTAAGATAGCTAAATAGTAAGCCATAAAATGTTTGACTGAACAAACTACAGTAATCTGA